TAAAAATTATGTTAATTTATTTCTTAAATAAATTAATAATTAAATTTATCATATCATTGCGATATTAAAATAGATTATAAATATTTAATTTTAAAATATTTTTGTTTAAATACTAATTTAAATGAAAATGTTTTTAAATAAATATATTAATCATGTCTAATCATATATCTATCACTAGTCGTGTTAATCATGTTGTGTTGTGTATTGTTACTTGAGTTGTGTTAAACAAATTAATTTTAAACATATTGGTTGTGTCATGTCACTTGTAACACATATAATAAATGTATCATATTTGTATTTAAGTTATTCATGTCATTAAAATATCTGCATCGTATTCATGTCAAAATTATTCGTATCAAGATTATTTATGTTTAAAATCATACTTAACACAATATGATATGATGACATGAATTATCAAATTTAATATATAGGTTTTAAACTCTAATCATATGTATAGATATCGTAGAAAAAGAAATTGTTTTGATGGACAACATGAGATTGGTGTCTTCCACGAATGGAGCCAGGATCTTCTTTCAGAGAGAGGACCGGGGCAACTTGAATTTTAAGCTATATTAAAATAATATTATATAATTATTTTTATATTTTATGTTAAATAAATTAGTTTAAAATTTATTTCTTTAGCAATTATAATTAACTATGAGATATTATAATAAGAGTTTATATTTAACGTATTGTTAACGTATAAATTTTATATACTGTTAATGAATTATATGATATCATCTCATTAAGTAGAAATTCTTTTTTAAAAAAATTAAGCATTTGTATATTCATCTTTAAAGCTAGTAAAAATGTATGTTTAGTTATTGATGAAGTGACATTATTGGATTTATTATAGTGTTTAGAATCTAGGGGTGATAACGGTTCAAACTGAATCGGATTCAATTCCATTTTTTTTTTGTTAATATATAATATTATGAATTTTTAAGATTCGATTTTAATCTGAATCAATCTTCTCTTGAAATTGATCCGATTTGAATCAAATTCTATAAGTTCGGTTTTATTCATCGATATTTAAAATTTAATTTTTTTGTATATTATTTTAATAGAATTTTTAATATATTTAAATAGATTTATATATAAAACAATTATTTTTATTTTATAAAAATTTAAAAAATATATAAAACTAATAAAAATATATAATTCATTTTGATTGTTTTTTTTAATTTTTATATCCTGATCCAAAATTCAATCTGAAATTAATATATACATTAATATTCGAATTTGACCTAAACTGAATAATAAAATAATTTATTCGAACTGAATAAACACTACAATTTTGAATCGACTTATGATTTTTCAGTTTTTTTTTTCTTATCCCTAATAGAATCTATACATTAAAAATACATTAAATATAAACTCAAATATAAACTCATTATAATAATAATATGCTATATGTGCAAGGGTTTGTTTTATTGGATTCTTTTAACAATAATATATATATATATGCTAAGTTGACCTCTTTACCCAAGGTAATAAGCACTTGTTTTAATTCCGCTCCCACTATAGCCTAATTTTTTGCCAAACCATAATCATTGAAATTTGCAGTTTTTGAAGTTTATTTGCCTGCTTATATCATATGACTAAAAAATTCCTTGAAAAGCAGATTGTGAATGCAACATAACCTAAAGAAACTCCCAACTTGCTATCAATCTCCAACCAAATACACTGTGATTATAATTATGTAAATTTCTCAAACATCTTCATTAATAACCTTTCATAGCTTCAAAGAAACTCTTCAAAAATTACCAACATCACTTGTCATAACGTAATAAAGGGGGTATATCGCCATACCAATTAAGCATAACAACTACTAATTGCTCTGTTTTGACAAAGACCATAACATCCTTCTGATATTCGGCAAAATAATCGTCCATCAAATAAACACCTAGCCATCCAAGGAGAGCGCCAAAGCATTTGCAGCATTGTGCCGTTTCCGAGTTCCAATCATTGTACGAAAGAGACTAATCACATCGAATATATACCACAAATAACACCAAGGGCTCAACCTCTACTTTCTTTACCCATTTATCATCCAAATATGGATTCCAAAAGCACAACCTATCGTATCTTCTCCCGAGACAATGGAGGTCAAATCCACAATTCCACCTTTTAAGCTCAAAACCCACTACAAGCTAATATTTAACAATAACAATCTGTATCCTTAATATTATCTTTTGTCCTTCGCACAAAATTTCAAATAAACTCACTTGCAAATCCGATAACCACCCAAACAATACCGTTCCAGCTCCTGTTTATACCTAAAAAAAGTCAAACCAATCAAGCCAACTCCAAACCCGAAAAGAATAACAAAACAGATTGCAACCCAACAAGAATCCCCTTATTTCAAATCAATAAAATAGAGACCTATGTGTTTTATGAACAAAACTTTCAATGCATTCAATCCAAAATTCCTTCTCTTACCAGATATGATAAATAAATAAAAAGCAAGGTGGAAATAGCCTGGAACATATCTTTAAAAGTTTTGCATAGCACACCCAAATGGTGACTATGTAAACCCCTCTATCGAGTCCTCGACTGACCTTCAATTCCTCGACCGTAGCTCTTTGAGTTGCTCGACCACTACCTCATCTTCACAATTTGCCGAGAAACCAAGATGTTTGCTCAATTTTCATGCTTCTTCTGCTTCTTTTGTAATCACTTTTTGTCTATTTGAGAAGTTCTTATTAGATAAGGATTCATTGCAAATCTTTCATGGAAGCTCGAATCAATTTTGCCCTGGGTCTTTTTCAGTTTTCTTCCTTTTCTATTCTTCCTTTGGGAAATTTTTTCAAGAGGGTCCTTCATTTCTGTAAATCTCACCTTTCTGCTCCTCTTGTATGCTTTTCCACGGTTTGGGATATGGTTTTGTTTGTTTCGTCAACACCTTCTTCCCTTTCAAAAGATGGGCCCTGCCACTCTTAGAAACCCCATCTTGTTTTTATCAAGGCCACTTATTCGTGGGCCCTTATCTAACATATCCGATCCCATGCCTCCATCCTCACTTGTGCTCAAATCTACAACCGGGCCCACTATGGTATCTCCCTCTCCCATCCGCAATCCAGCTTCTACCACTTCCAGATGGCTATTTTGAATAAATTCTTGTCCCACCTCTTGCTCCTCATTAATGATCTCCATTCCCTCACCCACGTCATTTCTTTCTATGCCTATGCAAGTAGCCTCAGACTCTTCGACTAATTCCTGTGTCTCATCATTAACTAGATCCTGGCTGTAATTCTAGGTTGAAGTTCCCAGAATTTGTTTCACTTCTGCTTCTTTATCTTCCTCCAATGCACCTTGAAAGCTAGCCTCTTCTTCGGATGACCACTGATAGCTACCCTGGTCATGTTTTTTGATAGCATTTTCATCCATCTTGTATGCCTGGCAACAACAATGGAATAACGAAATCACATCTGAACCCACTTCCAACACTCACGATGACTCTTGTCACCACACTCTCGGTTAATGGTCTCTTCAATCTTTTCTAACTGGTCTGTCATAATAAGCATAGCACCTCGACTGAAGTCATTAAACTTTAAAGTCTTACCAACCATAGAGACAAGTTCCCCCTATATGTGGGCTATGTTCTTAAATATATTGTAATTCCATACATGTAATAGGACACCAAAGCACGGAATCCACGTTGTCTGGTATTTGGACTTAATGTTCTACGACCAGTCCTCTACTTTTACAAACCATTTCTTTAGCCAGACCCATCCTGTGTTCTTCGTCACCTCCATTGAAACTTTCTCATTAAAGTTTATTATGAATTGTCTGCCAGAGATTTTCTTGACATGAATATCAAAGACTCCTTGCATTCGGAAGTTTTCTTGCAACTTGTCTGCCTTATAGTAACCACGTTCAGTAACTCTCCAGATTATGCAATGCTTCATCGAAAATGCGTGCCTTGCAAGACTTTCTTCGGTTGTTGCTATATTTCTTATTCCCACTCAGTTCATCCTCCTCGCTGATGACCATTCTCCTGCCCAACCAATGTTTGCATGAATGTTCTACCTTGTCCCTCGTCACTAATGGCATTCAAACCGTCCAGTCTCCTTACATTTCATTTTCCCCACCTCCATTGATTTTCCTCATTTAGCTCTCCTGTTTTTCCTTTCTTACTGCCTTGTATCCTTCTCTAGTGTAACGATCAACTTTGAAACCATGCATGATTAACACCAATTCTATAGTCCATTAGCCATTTATCCTTCAATCTTTCCACTTCTCTTCTGGCGTCACCATATTCGGCGAACCGCACAAAGTCGAATCTTTTCCCCATTCCACTCCTTTTTTGAGGGATGAAAACATCCACCACCCTGTTGTGATTCTGGAATATCTTTTGAAGCCATCTCCAATGGAGTTAGGGAGGAATGTTGCTAACGAAAACTGAAAACGCCTAGCAAGCCATTAGCAGTTACAACTCCTTAACAACCTCAACTTCGCTGTGTCATGTATTATTAACACTACAACAAAGAGGTTGTAAGTGAGGGTCACGTTTCTTACTAAAAGTATATATAATTCTCACTATTTTTTTAGTGAGGGTCAATGTGACTCTCATGAGCTCTCGCTGAAAATTCTCTCATTATTTTTCACTACAAGAAAAGAAAAAATTAGTGACAATTTTTTAGTGGCATTTTACTTATAAATGCTATTAATTTTCATGTTTTTATAAAGGTCGTGACGTTTTTTATCAAAACCTCATGAAATTTTCAAATAATGGCAAACGCCACTAAAGATAAGATTAGCAGCATTTATTCACTCAAAGGCTACAATATAAAATACCAAAATTTATTAAATATAATTATAATTATATGAGTAAACTGTTCTTTAAACTTTTTAGTGGCGTTTTTATGAAAAATGCTGCTAATTGAAAGATTTAGTGGCGTTTTAATCAAAAAACGACGCGGATCCCAAAAGTGCATTTAGGATAGATTTAGTGGCGTTTGAAAGAATAAACGCCAGTAAAAATTAGTGGCGTTTTAAAATAAACATCACTAATTTTTCCTAAATTGAAACCCAGGTTTCTTCTTCTTCTTTGCGCTTGATTTCCTTTCCTTTCCCAGGTTTCTTTCTTCTCTGCAAACCTAGGCCATTTGTTTCATTCTTGCTTTTGATTCCTAAAATGAAACTCAAGTTTCCTTTTCTTTTTTGTACTCGATTTCCTTTCCTTTCCCAGGCTTCTTTCTTCTCTGCAAACCTAGGTCATTTGTTTCATTTTTGCTTTCGATTCCTTTCCTTTTCATGCTGTTTCCAATGGGTTCTCTTTGTTTTCGATCTTATTCTTTTTCCTTTTCCAATTTGTTCCGAATCCCACTCTAAACTCAACCCTCGAGAACTTTTCCGTTCATTTGTCGCTGCCGTTCCCATCACTGTCGTTCATCTTCCTTTTCCTTCCATCTATAACACTGGTTTAAGGTTAGTAACTGAACATGTATTTTCTGCTTATTTTCAAATTTTTGTAATTTTTAATATTAAATTTTAGGGTTAATATTATTTTCAATCCCATGAGAAGTTACGTTATCCAAGCGTGGAAGTATTTAGAAAATCCTTGTCTGTCTTTATCTTTGTTCAACTTCTGTCATTCATTTCTTTGTCTAGTTTTCTATTGTATGCTGAAATTGGTGGACTTGGCCAGCGTTTGCAAGTTTGCTGTTTTAGTTCAAGCATTTAGAGTAGATTGTTGAACTATAAATAGTTCTCTGTCTTGAATTATAAACAGTAGTGCAGAACCAGAAAGTGTAAAGTTCTCTTGTCTAGTTTTTTGTTATATGCCGAAATCGGTGGCCTTGGCACTAATTGTTGAATTATAAACATTTTCACAGTAAATATGCCCAAATGTAATAAATTATGCTCAAATGTAATAAAGGAGTTGAGTATAAAAATGATATAGCTGATGTATTTCGGAGATCATTGGATGTTGCTGATTCTAGAGCTTCTCATATAGGGGCAGAGATAGAGCGTCAAATCGATGAAAAAAAGGGAATTAAAGCTAAGCTGGAAGAGGCATCTAGAGAACCAAGAAGGAAGATGTATGCTGTTTGCTCTTATTTTGAGTCATCTGCTGTTTTCATCTTATAGTTATTCTTTTAGTGAAAATCTGCTTAAAATACATTTACATTTCAGGAAGAAAGGAAATAATTGCAGAATTTAAAAGCTTGCTTTCTTCATTTCCCTAGGAAATGAGTTTGATGTAGAGTCAATTAGGTAAGTACAAAAAGGCTGCAATAGATATTCATTCTATCCGGGCTGATATGTAATCTTTTTCCAGTATTCTTGATGGGAAGGTTAGTACTTTATAAGTTGTGTGGTCATTTTTGGTTTTGCTTTAAGGGCTTAGGGATCATTTTTTTCTATATGGACTTACAAAGAATTTGTAAATAATTATTTATGAACAGATGAAAGAGTGTGAGAATTTATCTGTCAGATCTGCTGACCATGTTGCTGAGATGCATAAGTTGCAAGCCATGGTATGATTGGTTAATATTACTCTGTTATTTTGATTAAACATGTCTTCAAGAAACTTGTGATAGGAAATTGATGCTTGTTGAAATTAAAGGGAAAGATGCTTACATTTACCAGTAAAATCTGCGTTTGTCTGTGCTACCTTAGTGGCTCATTTCCTCCCCGCTGGTTCCACATTTCAGGTTTTCCTTGAGCCTTCTTTAGATCCTCTGGACTATACCTTTGCTGATTGTTTCATAAAATTTTTGCTACAAGTATTTTTTTTACCTTTTCAAGTTGCTACATTTGTATCAATGCTTGCAGTAGTTTACATGAGAATATTCCTTGAGGAAAATATACCAAATCAAGTGGACAGTATAACACAATCAATCTTGAAAGAGCAAGTAAGGCTTGCTATAGTAATATTTTCCTGGCACTTTGGCCTATTCTCGAAACTGGTAAAATTAGGCTATCATTTTAAAGAAGTGAATGTATAAGTTGTTTCCATGGCCTAATACTCACAATAATTTGATGTAATTGTGTTATTATTAATGTTTGAAATGACTAATAAAGTTTTAATTTCAGTATACAATTTTCCTAAGCAGCAGTTGTTGCTTTCTTCAATGGTCTTGCAGAGGGTGAGATGATATCTTCATCGATGGTATGACTTCCTTTCTAATTGTGAAATTATGACTTTTACCAATTAGAAACTTAAGATGAGTTTTTTGATCTTATAATCCAAATATACATAGCTGAAAATGACAAAATCAATGATTTAGAAGCAAACTCAAAGAAATGAACAAGCAAACCAAAACCGAAAATTAATAGGGTAGTAAAGCAAGAGCATGAAAATAAATTAAAAAAAAAATTAAAACACTTGACTCAAGTAACAAAGTGCCTCCTAGGTGAATGCTCAACCTAGAAGCAACCTTGTACCATCCTTATCAACCTCTAAACAGCCATGAAAAATCAAAGAAACAACAACCTAAAGCAAACATCAAAATCTGGAGACTGGTTTTGGACAACATCTGATTAAAATTAAGTTTCACTCTTATTTGATAGTATTTGATCTCCAAATTTTTTGTGGAAGTAACTAACTAATATATGAACATGCACATAAATTTTCAAGAGCATTGGACATCGTTTAGTACTTGAAATTTAACCAAAACCGTAGCAAAACAAAATCTGGAATTTCAGCTTGAAAAACAGAACAGCTCCTACTAAATCTTAGATATAGCTCGATATATATGGAATTTTTGCTCTCATATTTTATAGAAGTTTAGATAACTCATAGATGAACAAGTGCTAAAAAGCTTGATACAAATTGAAATCGAATTGAACTTGGAAAGTAACAAAAACCAAAACAAAATAAAATCTGAAAACAGAATAACATTCTGGAAACAGCTTTTAAAAAAGATTAAATTTGCTAGCTCAATTAGAACTATTTGATCAAGAGGAAGCACGGTAAATCAAGCTAACAAGTAGAGGAACAACATACAAAAAGCTCATGATTTGTTGAAACTAAAATCAACTTAAAAATTAATTAAACAGTAGCTAACATCAAACCTGAAAACTCAAAAACTGTGTTCAATACAAATTGAAATTGCAAGCTTAAATGGAAAATGTTTGCTTAAAGGAACTAAAGTAGAGCTAAATAACAGGTAAAGGAATGTAAAAGAAACTTAAAATTAATTTAAAACAAAAGGAAAAACAAAGAACAAGTGCTGTAGATTGAATGTAACTCATCAATGTCAAATTTATTTGTTCTTGTCCATTTCTACACTCTTGTTCATGTTAATGGCTAGTACAATGTATGGCTGTTGATTGAATAATAATGTTCTTTGCTTTATCATACCAAAGTATTCTTTAAGTGTAGTTATTAATATGAAAATGAAAAAAATTAATGTTTGTATTTAGATATTAAATATTTATAATATCCTGATTATAAATTTAAATTTATTTTTATTTTTTTGACTTATATTTTATTTAACTATAGTAGTAAATGTTGAAAGAAATTAAAAAAAAAAAGAGTAAAGTCCTTAATTAAAGACATTTGTGTCAAAAAACGTCGTTAAATTTAATAACGGTTGTTTAACGGCATTTGTAGTGATGTGTGAAAAACATCGCTAAATTACAAAATTAATAGTGTTGTGTTAAAAGCCGCTAATTTCTATAATTTAAAGTGTTTGTACGCAAAAATATCATTAAATTTAATGGTATATTTTGATATAAAACATCATTAAATTAACGATAATTTTTTTAAAATAGAACTATTTGTTCTGATGTAGATATAATCGACACTTTTAATGATGTTTTTGACAAATATTACGAATCATTTAACGATATTTATAAAAACCGTTAAATATAAAAAAAAAAATCACTAAAAACCTTTTCCTTGTAATATTTATATAGTGAGAAACAAAAAGCGACTCTCACTATATTCATCATTTAGCAAAAGTTTAAAGACCTTCACTAAATATAAACAATTAATAAAGGTCATTTTTGACCCTCACTAAATATAAAACCTATAATGAAAGTTAAATCAAACTCATTATATCTTTTATGATTAGTAAAGACTTCTGTTAACCCTCAAGTTTTTACTTTTATTGAAAGCTTTCATTGACTCTCATTTAAAATTACTTTTAGTAAAGGTTGTGACCTTTCCTGTAATACTTGATATCATTTAATGAAAATCTTATGACCTTCACAAAATATATATAGTTATATATTTTTATTGAATTTGTTAATAACAACATATATTTTTTATATTTGTAATTCTTATTCCAAGTAAAACATATATAAATAAAATGTGTAAAAAAAATTCCATAAAACGAAATAAACATCCACATATACTAATTTCGAAAAATATACAAACATCTTCCAAAATTGGCATATAAATTCTTGCAATATATAAGATAATGGGCAACAATGTTTTTTTGGTAAAATAAAATGCTCTTACTTCCGCCACAAAGGGCAGTCTTAAGGTGCTCATACAAGCTTGTTGGTTTTGGTCTATTTCTATCCAATGCTTGTTCTGAGTATCATAAGCACCTTCAGTTACGAATTTTCTATCAAATTTATCTAAATACTCCAGATAAAGCTGTAAGCTGATAACAAGGAGAAAATCAAGAAGCAATTCTTAATATGAAGCTCTATATTTGATAGCTTTCCCCAGAGGTAAAGCTGCACTTGCATGGTGTCAACCCCCCACCCACACAAAATTGAGAGAGAGAGAGAGAGAGAGAGAGAGAGAGAGGGAAACCAGATCCTCAGAAGAAAGTGCTTCCTTTCCAACCACAGCTTTCATTATTTGAACATATTTTTCAATAGCATAATTTGCATACAGCTGAAATCAAAATTGACAGGGTTTCAGTATAAACAATAATTCTAACACTTAAGTGGGAGGGACCCTTGCTTCATTTTCGAACTTCTCAATCAGACCTGGTTGGACACATCAGCAACGTCTCTACAAGTCATCCCCTCACCAATAGCACTCTAAAACATAAATAACAAAAGGAAAAGCTCAGCTTAACCTCCTAATTTGTGTCTAATTGTTAACAAGCAGATAATTTTCTCGTACAAGATGAAATGATAATATTTAACAGTCATACCTTCATTAATCGAGAAAGTGAAGGGAGTACATTAATTGGTGGGTATATCTGTTCAGAAAATAAATAAAGATAAGATCAATGATCATGCATACTATTCAAAGTTAGGCACTGGCACTCCCTATGAAATTACATCTATTGGCAACTTAGAGCTCAATTAAGATACTCTAATTCATATCAATTCAACAGTATTGACAGTATTTAAATCACTATTTTATGTTTCAGCAATCAATGAGAAAAATGTACTATTGACAATGTATGAAGCAAGAAGCAATTCAGTCAAATAGATGCATACAACAAGAAGATTCCAAGAACATTGGCATTGTGCATATGCTACAGTAGATTCTAAAATCATGTTCCACGATTAAAACAATAATGAATATAGTTTTAGTTACCTGTCGATTGTGGAGTTATCTATCAATTTATATCTGCCCTTCAGTAATATAACCAGTAAGATCTGGTGTAGGACACGTGATATCTGGTTCACAGAAAGTAATCAACAAAATATGATACCAGACAACCAGCGTTAATACTTAAAAGAATGCCATATTATGTTGGAGTTGCCTCTTACCATCATTAGGCATGGTCAAGATAGGAATTTGGGTGATGGAACCTTATTCTTCCTTCTATATGCCCTGCACGTTCATAAATTGTTGCCAGATCAGTATACATATAACCTAGATTCCAACGCCTTCTAGGGACTTCTTCATGAGCAACAGATACCTATAGGCAATATATAAAACATGATGAATGATAACAATCCAGCATTAGCAAACATGATAATCTGACAGAGCATATATTTATGGCATATCATATTTAAGTCATTCTAAGTCACTGTCAAATGGATTACATTCACTTTCTAAAGTCATTTCCAGTTTCCAAAATTACCTATGAAAGGTCATGAGAAAACAACAGTTTGCCTTCGGCCTTTTCAGTTAAAACTAATGAGATGTTCAAAGAGCATCAACATAATGCTATTTGTCAATATACGGACAATTTGACAAAGAAATTATGTGCCATATGTTCTCCCAGCTGAGCAGCTATAAAGCATATGTACCTCACGAAGAGCATCTGCGTAAGAACTCATATCCATTAATATAACCAGAACGTTTCCCACATTCATAAGCCAAATTCTCTATTGTTGTGAGGGCAATTCTTGGTGTGACAATTCATTCAATTTTGGGGTCATTGGCCTCTAAACACATTAAACAAAGCAATTCAAAGAGAGGAATGGGACAATTTCTTGATAAGAATATTCATAGACAAAGTCATTTCCAACGGGAAAACACTCACAATGACATGAACAGCTATAACTTGAATTACTTTGAAGAAAAAATTTGCTGAGAGAGAGATTAATTAATGAAAATTATCAGGTTCAAGAAAAAGGTCACTCTCTCCATAGATCCATTTTCTTTGAAATCTCTCTTAAAAATTGAGCTGTCTCCATGTTCACTCCCATTGCAGCAAACACAATGGCAAAATTGTCTTCTTCCTGATCCTAAAAGTCAATCAACAGAACAGGACAATCACAAATTTGAAATTTTGGGGGAAAAAGCAGGGGGCATGTAAAAGTGGAATAAGAGAAATGAACAGACATCTCACTTCAAAAAAAAATATGTATTGGTTCATTTCAGTTCCAAAAATAAAAATATTGAAATCCACGACAGAAACATTGGGTATCTTTACCCAGTTAACAGTATCCTTAAAGCTCACATTAGTGCTTTTTAGATCTGAGGCTGCTTTTATCCATCGGAAAAATATCAAAACAGTGTCAATATTTATTTTTTTATCTGTAGAAACTTTTAGACAAAAAAGAGAATGTTCCAACCTTTTCTTTTAACCTTACACATACCAAACATCAATAACTAGTTAGTAATTTTTGGATTAAAAAAAGTAAACAATGCAACTAGTTGATAGCAGAACAAATCTCAAAAGAAGGTAAGGGCAAATCTCAAAGAAGCAATTTTCATTATTTGTCATTGTCCTCCCTGTAACCAAAAATGAAGAAGGGAAGAAAAGGGGACAGAGAAGATAAGGTTTAAAAATGGTTAAAAATCCAAGTATCTGCCAAGCATAAGCTAACCAATTGAAAGAAAAGAAGGGAAGAAAACAGGATAACCCTTATTAATCTATTTTTTCCGTGACCACCAAAATCGCTACTTTAATTTTTTATACTAAATAAAACGTCTCTACAAATAGTACCAAATTCCCAAATCAGTATTGACATAAAACAAATACTACATATATATCAAATTTTCTTCATGAGGGCATTCGTGAAGAATGGCTGCCATGCAATATGTGTTATACTCTACAACTTACGAGGTAAAACCTAAACGAATTTCTGAAGAGAATTATAACTAATTTGCAACAAACAAAAATAGTTGCAGAGAAAATAAAGCCGGACGGGATGCATATGGACAAGTTTAGAGAGGTGGCTAAGATGCCCAAAGTTCATAAAGCTCCATTTTCAATAAAATCAGTAAAAAAAATGCTCATATAATCCCATAGAATATATATATATATATGTATAATCAATTCAAAACCACCGAAATTTGTACTAAATCTATATGCTCTATGCCAATTGAATTATTCTAACTGAATCATCTAAAAGGAATACCATAGAATTCCATCCACCAAATTTTAAAAGATTCAATCAAATTTCAATCCAATTCAATTCAAAAGGTTCATTGTCTGCATTAAATCCTAGTTGGCGATCATTTACAAGAATTTCGAAAACCCTAAACTTGAAGGTTTTAAGAAACAACAGATCAAAACGATGCAATAGAATCAGATCTCAGAAACCAGGTCTAAATTCAACTAATCCAAGGGATCGATCCATTCTTTTCGGATGCAAATTGGAGGGATGCAAATTGGAGATCAAATCCAAAATCAAGCCATCATTTATAGCAATACAACATTTAAAATCTAATGGAAGATAAAAGAAAGAGAAAAGAACTCGCCTGAGTCAATTTGGAATTCAGATCGTAACTTCCTAAGCTTTGGAGACGCCTGTTTAATATCTTTGACCATATTTCCCTTTGACTGCGAATTGTGAGCTTGCCTTTCAGTTTTCAAATATACAAACGGAACAGTTGAGCACTTCCACACAGCACTGGCCAATCACTTTCTGCCATGGCACAAATGTAAAAGGCAGAGGCGAAAAATTCTGGGGTGGAGATACCAAATTTGCATAACGAGGAGTGTTGTTTATTTAATTTTTTTTTGAAACGATTTGTTTTTTTTTTTTTTTAATTTTT